AGTGTACATTAGTGCATTCAAAACGTTACTCCTTTCACAATTATTTACCAATCACCGCCATATTTTCTTGTGTGTTATATATAAACCATGTAACAAAATTAGGGATCCATTTTGCTGTAAACTGAATATTTTTTTAAAATAATTAAAATATCGAAGATACTGGCTTTTTCGTTGAATTTTAGCATGCATATCACCATTTTATTTTTTCTCCAATATTAATTAAGTTAATGTAAAATCAATCCCTAAACTTTTGTAGAATTTCGGTAGGAATATTATAAAAAAGTTTCAGGGAAAAAAATAATAATTACAAAAGGAGTAAAATTTTAAAATTTTCGAAATTTTCTTCAAAAAATTAAAATTTTTAAAATTGTGTGAATAATATGTGAAAAATTTCATCTCGTATCATTTTCTTAAACAGAAAAATTATATGAAAGGTGGATATATATATATATATATATATATATATATATATATATATATATATATATATATTATTTTTTTAAATACATAAATAAAGTTTTTCAAAGGGTACACCAAGTCCTCTTAAGCATAAAACTAATATTGATAATGCGTAACATTTTGCAGTATTAATAAAATACAATTTAAGGAGGTAATCTTGAATTCACTTGTTTGATATGTTCCTTTTTTTAGAAATTACTAGTCTAAATAATTATAAATCTATAGGGGAAAAAAACTAAGAGAATCCTCGTGATTGTTTCAGAAATTGTATACTTGGAAAAATTGAGTACAAATCCAGAACTTGATTTTTTATAAATTTCCTATTCCAAAATTTTGATTGAAATATGAATAGAATTTCGCAAGAATTCTAATTTTCAAATGTCATGTTAAAAACAACCCGTAGTTTTTGCTCAACAGATAGCAAATTTCATTAAAACTACGCATGTAAAATGTTATGCTTTGTTCTAAAACGCAAAAAGCATTTAGCCACAATTAACAGTGAAATATGAAATATATATATATATATATATAGTTCTGAAATTTTAAAATCTAAAATATTTTACTGCTCAACCTTTTAAATTACTCTCTTTGTTCCATGATAATAGTAACACTTGATGAATTTAATTTGTCCAAAAATAGTAACAAGAGAAAATAAATCTGGAACACATTTTTTATTACAAAAACTAAATTAAACTAAGCATATTATAAGTATTATTCTTAATTTTTATTTTGAATGTTCAGATAGTTTCCAGACTTTTCAATTTCGTTATTGTATTTTAAACTTGCTGGTTACATCCCTTGGCCGCAAAGATTTATTTTGGCTACGTGAGTTTTTCTTTTCTCTAATAAACATTCTGATATAATCTTTCCAAAATTGGGAATAATTTGGATTTGTTAACTTCATGAGCATAAGTTGATGTTCTTGTGGTGTGTCTTCTACTAAAAATATCCTATACTTATAACTACATGTGATCTTCGAAAATTTATTATAATTATTTTTTAGCAAACTTATTTTGTTGGAAAGAGATGACAAATAAAAGAACCTTTTTAGAGGATACGTTGAAGACGCTCAAATTTTGTTTATATTTTCTGGGACACTTACGCTTTTCTTTTATTCCAGGATTTTCGCAATGCAATATTTCACATTTTTTCTTCCTTGTCATCTTATTTTGTCTCAATTTTTCTCTTTGTAAGTCTTTGTATGCTTTAATTTTCTAAATTTATAACAGTATAAAGTATTATACATAAACATAATAGAATTTTAAGTATAATATATATTCTTAATAAAATAATACAGACAGTTGAAATCAAATAAAAAATGTAAATTTAATTGGATGAAACAAACATAAAAGATAAGGACACAACAAATAATATATATACATATACAGGGTGTCCCGAAACTTAAAGATAATCGGGCCCTTGGTAAAAGGTGGGGTCGTTACTGTTCTGGGAAAATATAAAAAAATTCCCCTGAGGACGTTTGCACCAGCTTCGTCATCCCATTACACGTGATGACAGCCTATTGAGTTCATGGTACTGATGGATCTATCCGCCTAAGGAATCCTATCACAGCATGTATGATTTACTGCACAACAGTGTTCGCATATACTATTAGACACTGCCTGCAGTGAGCCCATTGTTGTAATTGCAACCCCAGACGTTCCTGTCTACAATGGTGCATTAAACAGAGGGCAGGAACAGTCGAATGGCATGACGTTGCCGTGACTGACGAATCCCGCTTCTGTTTACAACACCACGAGGGTCAGATTAGAGTCGTCTGAAGAGACCGCAGAGAGAAGATTCTTAATTGTTACTTTATGCATCGCCATATTGGCCCCTTAATCGGTATTGGTTTAGTTTAGGGTGGTAGTAGATTCCCCTTCTGTGCACGGCATCTCCTGGTGCACATTATGGGTACGATAACCAGCTAGCACTATAAGTCTGAGGTTTTGGAGCCAGTTAACCTCCTTTACATTCAAAACCTGTCCGCGGCTACATTTCAACAGGAAAAGGCACAATCATATGCCGTACACAATATACAACACTTCTTGCTCGCCAGCCTATCTTCCCAATTTATCGCCTATCGGACACGTCTGGGCGATCATTGGAGAACGAATAGCCCGGCCCAACACTCGCTGCTACATTATTTTAACTTTGGGAATGTGTGGAGGCAGCATGGAGTGTCTTATCCCAAAAAGACCCGCAAAGCCTTTTTTCATTGGATGTCGAGGTGTGAAACCGTGGAGGCAACACTCCATATTGATTTTATCTTCCTCAGTTCATAGAAGATCGCATTTTGAGTTATTTTACTTTTGAATTGTGGGTTATCTGTCTAATAAACTTGACTTTGATATTTTTCAGCTTCCTTGATGTTGTATTTTGGATGGCTAATAGTGTGAGCTTCAAAAGAAAACTGCGTCATCCTTTCGAAGAAAACTCGGTAAATCTATAAACATTGAATGAATAAATTCTTAAATCAAATTTTACATTTAATTCAATGAATTTTATATAGTACTAGATATTTTCTTAATACTGCCAAGTAAAATGTAAATCCCCCTCCTTCCGCCACTGATAATAGAATATTAACTAGATTTAAGTATTTGATATACAACCAGCTTAAAAATAAGCATAGCACTAAAATAATTCCATCAAAGATTTTTCAGGAAGTAAAATAAATTTCTACAATTTTTTCTTAATGATACGATTTTCTTAATGATATGGTTTTCTTAATGATATGATTCTCTTAATGATTTCATAATTCTTCCTATCATTGATAACTCTTGAATGTATCAAATATCAATAGTTACAGTTGGAATCAAATTTGAAGTAGAAATTTAGAAATGAAATATTTCCAGGAATTTTACACACATTCACATTTAATAAGCTAAGTATATTATTTAGTCATGAAAATAAAGACTAATATTAACAACTCAATCAAGCTATCCCTAGCAAAGAGTCAATTTCCAGCCACTGATGTTAAATTTAGAAGTTTTTAAAATATGTTCTTTGAAGCATACCAGTAACGTATAGGCGTTTTTGAGGGCGGGATTACTGAGTAGAAAAGCCAATACCAACGAGTCCAAATGCACTCTTTCTGTGTTTCGTTCGAATCACACAGAGAAAATCTTGATGTTGCGAGTTTCGGCTTGGAAATCGAAAATAGCGATGTCGTATACTTTGCATATTATTGTTGCGGTGATTGTATTGCTGATAGTTATTTATTGGCTATTTTTAATGTAAGTTGATATTCTTTTTGATTAATAATTTTGAAATAGTTCGCTCTAATATCTCAAAATACAATTATATAATTGTAATTTTTTTAAAATAAAATTTTTTTGTTTAAAAATTTAGAATTTTTAAAAAATAATTATGTGCGCGCGAATTTTATAATTCTGTATGTAAGTAATGGTTATTATTCAGCACAAAGAGGTTTTATATATATATATATATATATATATATATATATATATTTACCGAACATTTAAATTGCTCTCTCTTTCACTGATTTTCAGTAGATAGTAAATTTATATATTACTTTCATTAACTAAAGGAATTCCTCTCTGTTTAATTCATTGAGAAATGTAAAGAGAGTAAATGCGTTAATAAAGATTAATTTTACTGTGCTATATATATTATGCTGTTCATATACGTTCCTCAATTCTGTATGTAAGTAATGGTTATTATTCAGCACAAAGAGGTTTTATATATGTATGTATATATATATATATATATATATATATATATATATATATATATTTATATATTTACCGAACATTTAAATTGCTCTCTCTTTCACTGATTTTCAGTAGATAGTATATTTATATATTACTTTCATTAACTAAAAAAAGCAATTCCTCTCTGTTTAATTCATTGAGAAATGTAAAGAGAGTAAATGCGTTAATAAAGATTAATTTTACTGTGCTATATATATGATGCTGTTCATATACGTTCCTCAAAGCTATTTAAAAAAATTAAATATGCATCAGTATTACTTAAAGTAAATTGACAATTTGTTCCAGTCTTTTGGAAGAATAATTTGCAGAGGTTTTACTGAATCGAGATAATAAATAAAAAGCAATATAATGTGTCCAAAAGTAAATAGTATTAAATACTTACTTTTTCTTGGAGTGCGCTCATACACGCACGCACACTACTAAAATAAATTTTTCTGAAAAAAAAATATTGCGAACCGTTTGTTATATACCGTAAAATCCAGCGTATAACACGCATTTTTAACACAAACAAGTAATATAAAAATTTTTTTTAACTCAATTCCTACTTAGGCCAGCAAAGAAAATTTTTATTTTAGTTACTTTTTATTAAATGGTTACAATTAGTATAAATATGTATATATAGATGACACAATCACAATATTAAGTGACAAAATAGGATGCGATTTTCCTTGCCATTTTCTATTTTCGTTTCTATATAGAGTGTTGGACTATTTTTTCTTGTTTTTGTTACTATTTATTCATTAATTAAATTTAATTATTCTAATAAAATAGTATAGTAAAAAGAAATCCCATTCTCAGAAATTAAGCCATCCCAGATGGGAATTGAAACCACGACCTTTGTATTAGAAGTCCAACGCGCTATCCATTGCGCTACAGGAACACAAGAAATGATTTTCCTTTCTGTATATGCTGTTGGACTATTATTTTTGTTTGTTACTATTTATTCATTTTTTAATTTAATGAATGAATTAATATTAGAAAAAAATGTATTAATTTCAAGTTTCACCCACTCCAAGTTAAAAAAAAATGTATTTGAACTTGAATGGATGAATAGAAAGTATTTTATTTTAACGATTGAAAATTTAAACAAGATATATATATATATAGGGAGAGAGTGAACTAGTAGTAGGAATTGAAAAACAAGATCAAAATTTACGGGGAGCGTTATACGCCGGGTATAAAAATGACAGCTTTAAAAATAAAATAAAAATATCAACATAGAAGAAAATTAGACTTCTACTTCTTAAAAGAAATGACATTTCTTTTTAACTTAAAAGATTACAGTTCTAGAAAAATACTATTTTTTAAAATAAAGTTTGGAATATATAAAATGCCTCGAATAAATTACTTGAAAACAGAAGACCATTGCGCACACACATATAAAATTTCTTCTCCAAAAAGGGGTTGCGTGTTATACGGCGAATATAGATAAAAGTTAAAAATTTCTGCTTGAATGTACAGGTGCGCGTTATACGCCGGATTTTACGGTGCTATAAGAAATCATCATAGATTTAATAAAGGTCTTGTTTTGTTTCATAGACTATCGTTAAATTTGTCGTAGCTAAAAGTCTTCCTGGTGGTATAGGGGAGAAATTTGGAGAGTATGAAGCCACCTCAGATGTCATATTCGTCTCTTGACCGAGGTTCAAAATTATGAAAGCCGTCGCTAATAACTCCGGTGTTGCGAAAGAGTGCCCTATTAAAAATCAAATCAAATCAAAATTTCGTAGACCATGTAAATGTCCATTTAAAAAAATCTATATATTCTTTTTTAAAAAAATATAATCTCTCTTTACAAACTTTCAGATTGATATTTTACGGTACTTAAATGTTTAAGAATAAGATTACAATCTGAGTAACTTCGTTTTTCTCTTGAATTTCAAATATATGGCTTAAATGGTACTGCACCTTTTCCCGATGGAAAATTTGATGTGATGATTAATGCGACATACTTCTTGTTCTCGAGAAGGGGAGGGAAAAACTACGTCTCATATTATCAAAGAAATATAAAATATTCTAATCAATATTGTTACTAAGAATTAAAAAATTACTTCGCAAAAGAGAGCTAAAAATTACTTTATAATAAGCATTTTATAATTCATTATAAATATTTTATGTGTGTTTATTCACAGATTATACACTTTTTATTACCGTAAAATTTCTTGTACAACGCTCACCGCCGTATAACGCTCATCTGTACTTTCAAGCTGCAATTTTTAATTTTTAGGTATATTTGCCGTATAACGTGCTCCCCCTTTTTTTACGAAGAAACCTGAAATGTACGTGTGCAATGCTCTTATGTTCTGAAAACATTTATTGGAGATATTATTCAAAGCTTTAGCAAAAAATAGTATACTTCTAGAACTAGAACCCATTAAGTTCATCAGGAGTGTGTCATTTCTTTTAAATAAACACTATTCCGATATATGTAGAAGCCCAATTGTTTTCTATGATAATCTTTTTTTTAAAATTTTTTTTAAAGCTATCATTTTTATACCCGACGTGTAACCCACACCCGTAAATTTTGATATTTTCTTTGTGTTAAAAGTGCGCGTTTTACGCCGGATTTTACGGTAAATGTCTTTACATACGCTGGTTTCATATAGAATCTCTGACAATAAAGTTCGGTGAATGAAGTCAGAACGGCCGATCTGGCAACATTGGAGAAACAAAATGCAGCACATGCATAGTGGCAGGTGTTGACTATTTCCCCCCCGTTGTTCATTTGAGCGTCGTTTGTGTTCCGTGTGAGACTTCTTTTACAAAGTGCTTGCTTAGTACGTTGGTTCTTAAATGAAAACAGGAAAATGAACGAACAAAAGATCAATTTAAAGTTTTGTTTTAAGCATGGCAAGACACCAAAAGAAACTGATGAGATGCAGGTAAGTGTTTAAGATGATCAAGCACTGTTCATGAAATGTATGTACGAGTGGTTCGCCCGTTTTCGAAAAGAAGGGAAAGTGTTTCTGACAGCCACTTCAGCAGAAGACTGGCGACCTCTGTCAGTGACGAAATTATTGAGAAAGTGAGGAAATTAATCACTAAAGATCGTCAGTTAATTGTGCGCATGATAGCTGATGAACTGCAGATTAACCGTGAACCGTTCGGCAAATCGTTATCCAAAATTTATGGATGAGAAAAACGTGATATTTTATTATAAACGATATTCCTAGCATCCAAAGAAATGTGACGAGGCTTCTAAACTCTATCCCAAAAGAAGACTTTTTACAAAGTTTCCAGGACATGTATAGCAGATCTCAGCCGTGAATAGTTATGGAAGACTCTTTTGAAGGGCAGTAAGGCAACTTTCGTTAATAGTTCATCGACGTTATAATGGTACAGGACTATTCATCGAACCTTATTGTCAGAGGTTGTAGTTTGTCAAAGGGTTCGCTGCCCTTTTGATTCTTATGTTAAAAAATGCTTCTTTCATAAATGCATATTATTTAACATTTAAATAAGAGGTACAATGATTTCGATTGTAAAAAAGGATTTCAAAATTTTTAGCAGAAAATATTGAATAATATACGAAGAAAACAATAAATCCTGTCATTATATATATATAAACAGTTTTAATGAACAGAAAAGCTGTTACTCAGCAGGTTTATTTCTATTGTTATCTTTGACAAGCGACTTCACTTAATAATTTCCTTACTTTTTACATTCATGACCATAAATTAAGGATTATGCCAGCTCTGGGAAATAAAGGCTCGGAAACAAAACAAATGGGACTTATTCAATAAGCTTATTTATTAAACAAAAGATAAAGAACAAAAATGATGACGTAAGTGTGATACCATTCATAAAAACAACAATTTTTGCTCTCTAGAGCAATTACAAAGAATACTCTCTTTACGGTTTGTATGATAATTAATACATTGTATGTCACCAATGTGATGAAATACAGTCCGTACAAGGCATAGGCATGCTGAGTATCAAATTATCGAGCTGATCTTGAATAAGATTACTCTCCTCACAACAAGCAATACTCTCCGAAGTTCCAGTACACATGCAAGACGTGGTTGAAGGACTGGAACTCGTTGGCCAAGCATGTGACACACATGTTGTGCCGGATTCACACCAGGGGAGAATTCTGGCCATTCTATTGGGGTAATAAACGCAGATTGAAGGCATTCGCTTATGATCTTTGCTTGGTGAAGACGGGTGTTTTCCTCCATAAACACAAATTCTGTACTCATGGCACTCCTAAACAAAAATAAATGTTGTTTCAGAATGATGTCCCTATAAATTTGGCTGGTCATGATTCCGATTTGAACCTGCAGATCTATTCTGGAGCCCAGTGAAAATTCTCCCAGACTTGCAATTTTACACCACCATAGCCGTGCAGTTCAATGATGTTGCGTTGGAGGTGATGGCGTTCTCCATATGAAAGTCTGATGTGAATTAGCTTACAAGCTAAACCTGGACTCGTCGGTAAACATCGCTCACTGGGACGATATCTACACATCTCTCTTAGATCTCTCAAACTGCGCACCCCTAGGGGCGTGATAACTCTACGTGGGGGGCATATTGAACAGTCAAAACAAAACGTTATTTGAAAAAGTCATTAATTTACTGAAAATGTAAACAGACAAAATACATTCTGCCATAATAAAGTAAAATATACATTTGTGCACTAAAATAATCCCCTTATAAATGTATCAGTACTGCACAATGTATTTTATTATTCATTTAACAATACTAAGTTACGAACAAGTTTAACAATTACCAGTGGCCCCCCTTGGGCTTGTCATATAAAAATTATATCCAAAGATCAATATTTATCTTGGTAATTTGTACGGTTTATAATTAATCCCTTAACTGCAGATTAAAAGTTACGCGATTCGCTCCCCGATGCCCCCGTTTTGAACGTAGGTGCGCGTATGTGATGTATTGGAGGAGGGTGGGGTAGATGAGGAATAAATAAGGAAATCCTTCGCAAACAGTTTCATGATCCTTTTGTTGAATTCCAAAGCCTTTGGAATATTTTTATGGATAGCAGTTCACGGCAAAAGATCGTACTTTGGGAAAACGTATATATACGTCCGGGGCAATTATCGCTTTGGTTGAGAGAGTTGTTTATCTATGTTGGTGGTACTTAAGAGGTTAACTCCGTTTTGTAGATTTAGTGTCAAAGTATAGTGTTATTGAATTCAATACACTGTTATTGTGTTGGGGAGGGAGGGTGTGAGGTAAATTATGAATGAATATTGTGTCGCAAATAGTGGAAGTTTGAGAAGCACTACCTTAGAGTTTTACAAATACAGACCATATGAAGTTTAAATTAATGTAAAGTTTTCAAAACTGTGTTTTCTTTACATCTTTAGTAGATCATGAATATTTTGCAGTACTGTACAAATTAACTGGAATAAACACAAACATTTTTACATATGTAATTTAATTAGTATCAATTAACTTACATGCATTTCATAACAATTTCGTAGAAAATATGCCATTGGCTAGCTTTTAACATATCTTGCAAACATTTCGGCATGGATTCCACTAGTTTTGAACATAGTTGTTTGACTGCGTCTAAACGAAACTAAACTTTAATGACATGCTCAATCATTTTTTTAGGTAGAACAGTTCACCGCACTCACACGTCTCTTCAAAATGCTCAACAAATTTTCAATGAGATTTACATTCGCAAAATTAATGTACCAATTCAAAATTGTTAATTTTTTTTAATGAAAGTTAACCAGCTTAGAGTTATGGTATAGAGTTAAATCTTGTTGAAACACATCATTACCACTTACGATCGTTTGAGTAATTATATTTCCAGAATTATATTTCCTAGTATTGAAATGCATATATTTTGAAGTTTACCATTTCCTTAATTGGTACTAAGTTGCCAGGTCCTCTAGATGTAAAATAACCTCA